CCCCCGAATTAGCCCTGTATTTTATGTTATGTTTATACAGCCGATTCTTGCAGGGTTTATTGAAGTTGGATATCGCCGGCAATGGCTGAACTGTTACTGAATCCTTTCGGCTCTGTTAATGCCCTCCCCCAGCAGTGAAGTGAAGAAAATTTTATTCTACGATTAATGATAATTCTTCATCGTTGAATTGGCAAGAACTTCGAAGTGCATTTCGTGGCAATCGTTCTTAAGAAATTTCCGAAGGAACATGTAGACATCATTTAGCATCGAACGAGTTACATATATCCAATGAACTATTAATTTAATGTTGCCCGTTTAATATAACTCCATCAGGGAAAACTTGAATTTGGCATGAATTAATCACTCCTGCAGACATTTCTTCAATACCGTTTCGCTTACTTGGCACCAAGCCCAACAGATATACTTTAAAGAGCATCTTTGCAATTATAATATAGGAATGATTTACGAAACTCGTTTCAATTCCTTGTTATCCTCGATAAATTTTCACTTCAGGGTATTAGACACAGAGAAACAAATAGATGGCAATCGGTATCGTAACTTCCGACGTTACAGTCAAACTACGGAACAAACAGTGGGATGGAAAAGTCCAGTAGCCGCTTCCAAAGTGACAGCTATAGCAGATACAAACTACTGACAGTTACGAAAGACACCTAATTCAATCCCAATCCATATACAACGATTAAAAGGAATCGACAAAACAGGGCAAGAAATCGTGAACTGGTCTGAAATCAAGAACTCATCTCTCGACGACTCCCAGTCACGAATCGTCAAGCTCACAACTGACGAGACGACGGACTCCACCGCTGGAAGCTCCTTTATAAATTCGAGGCATATCTTGCCAGGAGAAGGACAAGCACAGAATGGAGCGATTTTAATCCATGTTATTCCATGCCCAACAAATGCATGACAAGTCGTTTTGAATATACCATCTATCAGCCGATCTAACGATAACAATTCAAGAATTTGATGGACGAAAAGAGAGGCCCGAACATTATCAAATAAATATCAAAAGATGGAGTGAAAGACCGTCTTTCACATGCCGTTTTGATTAACAATATCCAACATTCTGGCATAACAATTTCTCTTCTCTGAACGGATGATGACGCCGAATGCCATGAAAGCGTTATCATCTTTCATATGCGTGATAGATATCAAATTAAACGACAAAAAATAAACATGTCGAGTGTAAAGATAATGGAAAGTTAATTAATAACCGTCAGGACAGCGGCATAATAAATGAATCAGTCGTCTCATGCCCTGAGTAAGACGATGCGATATCTAATTATGCCTTCTGAGGAGATCGATCCGGAGTATATGTTCGTTCTATCCGGATTATTGTTTGCAGTGCTGTTTTATCCTTTCGGTCATTTTCAGCATTTAAATTAACTCATTTCTTGTATTAACTATTTCTTGTATTGGCAAAAGCGCTGTTTTTATTAGTAAGACCTCTCTTGAACTCTAATTAAACATAGTTACAACGAACGTTGAATCTGATTCCAGTCTGTCGTATGGCTGATTATGAGGCTGAATACAGGAAACTTTGTCTGACCGTTCCTCGAGTTCGCCATTTACAAAAGGTAGAATACCGGAAAGTACAGACATACTTAATGAACTTGATGAACTAAGGATGGTCATTTGCTTCCTTCAGGCATTCATGTTCGTTCCGTCATTTGTATGTTGTTATTTCAAAGACAGTACCGTGAATTTAGTCTCGTCTGATTGTCATTCAGTTTGTCACACCTCATTGGACTTTATGCAATTTTGCTTTCAAGTTAT